CTCACGCTACTCACAAAGATTGGCGTCGAGACGTCGCTGCGCTACGCCATCCAGATGATCATCGCGTCGGCGCTGGTTTGCGCAAAGCGCAAGGGCGTGGAGGTGGAGGTGGAGGACATCAAGAAGGTGTACTCCCTCTTCGTCGATGTCAAGCGCTCGACGCAGTTCCTCGTCGAGTACCAAAACGAGTTCCTCTTCTCGGAGATGCAAGACAACGACGCCGACATGACCGACGCGCGCACCTGAGCAGGCCGGAGCCGCTGTCGTCCCACTGTTCACTCGGCCGTTCATTCACTGGGTCCGTTTTGCTATAATTAGGCGACACGCTCAACGCAGCCGCTCCGACTAATCGATTTGGCACGAGTGCCGTCTGTGTCTGTGTCTGAACTCGCGTCGAACGGCTGGCACCAGCGACAACGCCCTATCAAACTGGCCAAAATAACACAGTCAGAGCAAGCGACATCCTCCGACGAGGTCCCCCCACACGCCGACGACGAGAACACACACGCGTCACGCGCCGCCTGCGCCCCCCGCGGCCCGCGCCGCGTCGCGCTCGGAAAACGGAATACGCCGAGCTGTGTGTACGGCTCTTACGTCGCTTGCGCAGGCTAGAAGGGCGTGGGGGCTGGGGGCTGTGAGGTGTGAGTCAGCGGACAGTGTCAGAGAAAGTTGCTTCCCCCAGGATTAGTGTCTTCTCTACTGAGGGGACGAACTCACTACGGCTCTAAGGGCGGCTGGGCGGGGCTGCGGCCGGAGCTAAAAATGAGATATTCTTATCTTTTTGCCCCCCTCCGAGACAAGGGACAGAACCACACCAGTATAGACCAGAGGGACTGCGCCTAGCCCCCGCTTGCCCTGACTGCACAGGATAGCGTGCCCCGATTACGGCGACACATAGCGGGGGACACTGCGCAAGGAGGGGGTGCGTCGACTTTCTTTTGTCCTCTCGGGGGAATGTTCTCTCGGCGCCCATGGCCTTCTGAGGTTTCGTACTAATGACGTCCCTTCTTGGCACTTCGGGCGTCGGTGTGTGCGTATCTGTGGTGTCTAATTCCTCCGGTATGCTATATAGGTTTCCCGAGCTGAGACCTCCTTGCTACCCCAGCGTATCTTGCTGAAGCCTTCCGCTGGCGGGAGGTCCCCAGTTCGAAACCTGATCGACCCTTACATCTTTTGTTCACGGGTGTATGGCTCGCCTGCTTACCCGTGACGAAATACGAACGCACACCAAGCGCTGCCTAAGCGTGAGGACGCGATTTCGAATTCGGAGGTGCATCTGAGCAAAATTGGGCCCGCTCAGGTGTGAAAAAAATTATAAGGGTCAAGCTGCCGATTCGATCCGGAAGCCACTCGACCACCGAGCGGCCGACGGCCGAAGTGAGCAGAGTAGATCAGATGGTCTAGAGGAGGCGTTCACTCGGCGACCGATACCCGTACCTCGAGGTAACACATTACCGGGGGAATTAGACACAACAGAAACGCACACACCGACGCCCGAAGTGCCAAGAAGGACGTCATTAGTACGAAACCTCAGAAGGCCATGGGCGCCGAGAGAACATTACCCTCGCCTCCTCCGCCGCCATCGCCACCGCCGCCGTCACCACCGCCGCCGCCGTCCCCTCCGCCCCCGCAGGTGCCGCCGCCGCCCTCCCCACCACCGT